CGTTGATTTTGGCCAAATTTCAATTCCAATAAGGTTTTCCTTTCTACTTTAGATTTAGTGTTCTTTCTCTCAGATCTAATCGCTTTTCGTTTATGATTAATTAAGTTCTGTGCCCAAGGGCTAATAGCGCGTATTATCTAGTATCGAATTTCAAACTAACACTCTCTACACTAGAAGTGTGCATCGGATCGGATTGGACGTTTATAATTCGGCTAGCTAATGTTTAAAATCCGATCCGAGTTTTGATAAAGAATTCCGATTCGAAGAATCCTTTAATAAGAAAATAAATTTCTTATTCAAGTTAAAATATTTAACCAACTAAATATAAAAGCAAGAAATACATGTCAAGAATTAAGCTGACAAAGTGACGTCCAATTGAAGTGTCAAACGAATAATGCAGCGACAACCGCGATAATACTTTGATAAATGCATCTGCCATCTTAAAACGTCATTGTCGCTATAGCAACGGCAGCTGCGTAATTTTTGTGGGAAAACACCCTATTAGATGTTGTTTTACATCAGTGAGATACTTTTTGTTTTCCAACAATTACAAGTGATAATTGTCCTAACAAACGGATCTAAATTGTGAACTTTCCATTTTTTTAAAAACTGTATGGAGTCACCTTAAGAAATTTGAGCTCAACCTCGCAGCCAAATACTATTAAACCAGTCGACTTGCAGCAAGTCTAAAGCTTGGTTCACACGATGAAATAAGCATAAGCATAAACATAAGAAGAACAAATGTTGCGTTCTTCTTACGGCTTACGTTTATGCACATCAAAGGTTCCGCTGCTTGTGCTTATACTTATTTCATCGTGTGAACCAGGCTTAATTAAGGAGATTCGAATTTCGTGACTTTCACGTGATCCGTTCTTGTCCAATGAGATGCAAGAAAACATGAACTTTGATACTTGACAATAATAAATATTTTTTTTCCGTAATGTAAACAAACGCTTTGTTTACATTTTGAACTCAGTGCTACAGTTGTAAAATATGATTAGATATATATTATACTGAATTTTTAACACTTTTCTGGTTCGTTATGCTTGTAAATGAATACAGACTAGAGATTCAATTCAAGAAAGTTCGGAAGGTGCGAAATATTAACAACATTCCAGAGGTTGCTCCCCCACTGATGGAATGTTTTGATGCGCAGAATATATGCGCAGAACGGACTTTACTGCATCAAGTGTTATTTCTGACATAAGAACGGTTTTTGGGACAATATATTTCTTATTAACAAATCTGACAATTTTTTAGCAAAACCATTTTCGCTATAAAGTTTAGTTCCATTGGCACTTCCATTTAATGGCCTGACCGGTCAGACCCAAATTTTGTCTGTGTATCAATGGGAAATCTGGTCAAATATTAGCGAAAATGGACCTCATTTTAATTTTATCTAAATTTCCTGGTCAGATAGGTCCAAAGCCCAAACGTTTTGTATTCCATTCAACAATTTAACCGTTGTGACCCGCCTGGCCGTCTTAATTGGAAACGCTCCATCATTCCAGATCATGCATTCCTGTTTCAAATGTTAAATTAATCAAATCCAATTATATTCATATAGAATGAGCCAAATAATATCGAGAATCCCTGTAATAACAGTAAGGACAAAACTGTCATTGTTATCTGGTTTCGTTCTCAAGTATGTCGAAACAAAGCGCTGCAAATTGTTCTTCAATTTTGCCTGGAACAAATTTACTGCATATAATCACCCATGACATTTTACCATTGACTGTCGTATTAAAATGAGAAGCGAAACTCGCAAATCCAAAAGGAACGGAATAATAAAGACATTCATATAATTTATACATAGAGGTGCTATCGTCGTAGGTAAATGCCCCAGCACTTGAGATGAAATTGTGAATAAATAGTAACAATTTCTTCTTTGGATCCAAGGGAGAATGGAATTCGTTGACAACTTCTCTGGGTGTAAAAATATCTAATTCAGCCAAATTCGCGGAAATATCTTTTCCTTCTCTGATTATGGTGTGAATTTGCTTCGTTGCTTCTTGAGCCATTGACCAAAAATCCTCCGTATTGCAGGACATAGGGAGCATTTCAGACATTACAAAATTACCCACGTATTCGGCCGGGGGGTTGGGCTCACAGAAACGTACACCATTGATAGCAAACAAATGCATCAAATCCTGTTCCTTGGCAATTACTAAATCTTGATTTTTAATGAGCTTGCAAAACGCTTTATGCGCTGCAGCCATAAGGGCCCCTGTCACAGTTACGCCCTTGGATCTACAAACGTTGCGAATTCGTGATGTGCGTTTCTCAGAAAATACTTTGTATACCAAATCACATACTTTAACCGAGGGTTGTGTCATAAAAAATGGGTAGGGTTTTTCGGGTTTGGAGGCCAATGAGATGCATAACTTTAGTCTTTTCATGAATTTACAAATGAAATGCAATCCTACATATTCCTGCAAATCCGTGCTGGTAGATCTTGATCGGGTGCTATTGATCATCTCATAAAAACTTGGCAACAGCTCATGACTCGGAGCATCTTCGCTGCAAACTTGTGTGTTTTCGGCAACACTATTAAGGTGGCTCAAGAATTGTTTGCATAAACTCATCCCCGATACCCCGTCAACGATACTGTGGTTTACGCGGAAAATTATAGTATTCACGTACTTCTCGCTATTTGGAAGATATTCCTCTGCAAACAAAACTGCTCGCCATAGTAAGCCAGTCTTTACCTGGCTCATAACGGTATCATACCATCCTTTTTGCCACTGCGATGCGTTGACATCCGACGTTGTTAGGTCAATCATGTCTCCAATTTTATTCGGCTCAATTATCTTGAAATAGCTTTCATTGCTTTGCCCAAACCACGAGGAATTTGACACAATTTTAATAACAGCTCGAAGCAATGGTTGCCGTTTGGCTAAACGTAATAAAGCGTCACGAACAAATGATTCTTTAAGTTCCATTTTCGAGTGCAAGGTCATAACATAACAACTGTTTGTGGTCCCTTGTCGTTCGTTACTAAGTATCTCCATACGTTCTTCAAACTTGCCCAAACGTCGGCTTGAGGAAGATGATCGAGACTCATGACTTGCATGTACCGCGGCTCTCCTAAATAAGCCTCGTGTCAGGATGTAAATAAATATAATCGCTAAAAGTGCGATGAAAATTTGAGCAAGAATCGACATAGTATTTATGTGAGGTCTGTGAAGCGTATTACATATAAAGCTGTTTTATAATTTTATTTAATTTATTTAAATGATATTGCATAATCAACGCAGTAGGCGAGGCATTTTGGGATCACAAGATTATATCTAACAGTTTGTGACGTGAACATTGTTTTCATCGAGCTTAATTAAGGGACGGACCATTTGATTTTTGATGGGGGGGGGGGTAGAATCCCAAAAAAATATCGTGCAAGCAATTCGAACTTAAAAAAAATATCGTGCAAGAATAAACGGACGAAAAAAAATATCGAGCAAGACTTCCGAGTGGTAATCCTTATTTGCCATTCGGTGCATTTCCGCGTGTAGCCCTAGCTGGGGGCTGCAAGGTCCAGGAAATGGCATTTCAGAGACTCTAAATTTAAAAATTTCCTCGGGCCTTCGGCCCTCGCTTTCAGCCCCCCAATCAAAAATTTCTTCCCACGGCCCTGTAGCCTAAATAATGGGAGGACCAGTATAATTCCAAAAATGCTTCTTCTTTATTTCTTTTCTCTGACTCCTATGATGAACATGTACGTAAAAAACTAGGAAAACTACGATTAAATCACGGCCGTAGAAACTAAATTAGGTGAAATTTTTATACGAGGATCAGTAAGAGCGAGAGATTGAAATTGAGTAGGAATAGCGTACAGGGGTATGCGTTTCAACCTAACAGTTTTCTTCAGCAGGTTTTTTTAAGGGGGGGTAGATATAATTTGAAGAGGACAAGGAAGGAGAGTTTATATGAGTTCGGAAAATAATGTGAGACCAGGAGGAAAACAAATTATTACGAAATAACTGAAAATAACCAATTACACAGTGAAAGGATGTAACTACCATACATATTATTAGTCAAGTTATCCTACCAAAGGTCTTGTTGTTTGCGGGACATTCCAACACTACGCACTTTATTGTTCATCGTTCGTATTGGTGAAGTGAAGCAAATTTGCAGGTCCTTCAATTAAGGGTTAACTTACTAGTACAATGGTATAGTGTGTTTGAATGATTGTGATGGTAAGGGTGATCATGTGACTGTAGGTGATTGCATCCAAATATGGTGTTAGTGGTATAGGAGTTTATAAGACAGGGATAGGGGCGTTTGGCAATTAGTGATACATAAGGGATAAAAATAATGATAACTCCGTGCAGAGTTTGATTTTTGCTTAAAATATATGAATATACAATAATAACTAAAACATGTACATATATAACAAAACCAAAACAGAGATTAGTAAATGAACGATACGATATGACCAATAGATAGCTATATAGCTAGTTCTGGTGTGGATTTTGCTACGTAGAGGATCCAAGTTCACATTATTTTCCGAACTCCTAAACTCTCCTTTCTTCTCCTCTGCAAATTCTATATTTCCCCTTTAAAAAACCCTGCTGAAGAAGACTGTTAGGTCGAAACATGTGTAGGGTTGTCTTTCCTACTCAATTCAATCTCTCACTCTTATATCCTCACCTTTTATGGAGTCCCATAAACATTTCACCTACTTTAGTTTCTATATATAATCGTAGTTTCCCTAGTTTTTTTACGTACATGTTCATCATAGGAGTCGGAGTAAAGAAATGAAGAACAACCATTTTTTTAATACTGGTCCCCTCATTATTTAGGCTACACAATGTCTTACACCAGTACTTGTCCAATTTAATACCTATTATATACCAAAAAATGTAAAAACAAAAAACTAAAAAATGTATATACATGCACACAAAAAAATATCGTGCAAGTCCTCTGACTGACAAAAAAAAATCGAACAGTGTCAGGAGGCGGAAAAAAAATATCGAGCAAACTGAAAATCTACCCCCCCCCCATCAAAAATCAAATGGTCCGTCCCTAAAGTGTAATAAATTGTAAAACACCTTCTCCGATTTAATAATTATGATGTCCTATGGTTCCCCTGGAAAAGTTTTACTCTGTGCCCTGCACAACCTCCCAGTGGTACCATAAAATGAATTGCAATTTCCTTAAAACCTTTATTGATTTCAATAATGTGTCATTCTACACATCAGCCTATCAAGTAATTCAAGCATGAAAGTATAAATGATATTACACTTATTCAAACAGGACATTGTTATTAGTCAGGCCATGTGTGATTCTTGATTCTTTAACGTGATTACTTTTTATCACATAATTAATGAGCAATGCACTTCTCCAACCATACTATTCCATTCTTGAGTATTTCATTATATTATAGACTCTTCATTATAATGCAACATGCCAAGTTGTTTACTGATCCAGAATACAGGACTGTATAATTTTAACTTGAGACTGATTTCTCTATTGTTTCTGGAGGTATTGGCATAATAAAAAGATTATCATATTTACAGTCCCAGGTGTATCTGAAAGAAATGTAAAACTAAAGTTAAACTGCTACATGCTTTTGCTCAATTGCTACAGCAGTACAGACCTTCCTTATTGAGAAAAATATCTTTATTTAATCATTGTATGAAGAACAATATTTGGTTTTAAATTCCCTAGGTATGATAGATTCATAATAATGCATGTATAATATATTGTAATAAATACTGGGTATGATCAGCTCACAGGATATGCTATAGAATTTCTGAAAATCTGCTGCATTTTTAGGGGGTACGCAATATCTTTTGTGGCATTCTAACTAGACTACAATTAGGATGGAAATTCAGAGCCCAAGGTTCAAAAATTAACCTTGAAACAAAATAATGATGACATGAACAATATAAATTGTAACAAATTAAAGAATTAAAGGCAACCAGTGTGCAACAAGCAACGTTCTTGCTCAAGAATAGCCTATTTAATAAAGCTGAGAGTTATTAAATTACTTTTATATAACAAATAATTAAACGTACGTATACCTTACGAAGAAATCGGAACATTTTGAATGGAACAGAAGCCATTTGATCGATGAGTGTCGACATGTATACAAGCCGGTGTTTCAATCATCTCAAATTACTTGTAAAACGGAAATCACACGTGCACTCAGTATCCCTGTTGTTCACACTAACTGCGCCGAACATATTTTAATGCTTTTGACGGGAAAAATTGCGATTTTATTGATATTTTCAGCAAAAAGTTAGCTCTCTACTCCTCTTGAAAATACTATGGCGCGCGCGATTCCCGGAGAATGGGTACGAAATAGTTAATTGGAAAATACTGTACTTTTACCGTATTCTCTAATTAACTCAACTCGTGTGGCCAGAGCCACTCAACGATGGCTCTGGGTACGAGATTGTGTAGTAATTTTATAAAACAATTACCAAATGGTTTTCCCGTGCAGGATAGCATGATCCATGCACTTGGGATGTTGCTCGACTTTCGGAAAGCTTAAAAATACACTCGCCTACGGCTCGTGTATTTTTACGCTTTCCGAAAGTCTCGCAACATTCCGCGTGCATGGATCACGCAATCCTGCACGGAAAACCATTCGGTATTCCTTTATTATCAGTTTCATTCTATAGCTGTTCTCTATACTTGGTTAAAAATAGTGCGATTACAGCCCAAATCGTACTATTTTAGCTGCCTCGTTTCTCGTTGCTTCAATTTTTGAGCTGTATTTATAATCAGACTATTTTGAGCTTTGCTCGCATCACCACGAGCAGTTGTAATATGGCATCATTTTTAAACCAATCGTATGAAAGTGGTGACCTTAGCTAGCCAATCAAGTGAAAGTGCGGAATTCATTTAGCCTTTCAATTTTAAGGAAAATGTGATGTGGCAAATTGACCAAAATAACAAATCAGAGTATTGATTACCAGTAAACCAGCAAAATTAAGGATCAAAAACACTTTTTCGTACAAATTCCTGTTAAAACATGGGTGGACCCTTATTTTTGGACCAATATCTGTAAAATTTAGGTCTTTAAATTTTACTCAATTCCCTCTGAAAGCCCTGTAAGTTATTTGATAACTCTACATTCTATCATTTTATATCTTTGGTGACCCTGCCAATTCAGATGATTTGCCCTGCCAATCCAGATAATTCGTATTTTGAGGGGTGTTACACCCTCCATACCCTCCTCAAGTTTCGCCCCTGATTTTCATTAAAATTCTCAAAAGTTAAATGTCAGTATATGTTTCTTCTGAAATCTACAGATTTTCTAAGCTATTCATGCAGCAGCGATAAAAATACATCATGTTAAATGTTTTCAGTTTTTAGTGCTTAGAAACAAGGTTGAAAAACAGCAAAAAAGGAGGAAAAAATACTTTTTGCCACTATGTGATCAGGCCTTGTAGTAGGCTAGTAATTTTTACCAATTTAAGGAATTTTAAGGAAATCTGAGGAATTTTCGAGCTTTTTCTAAGGTCTTCTAAGGAATTCGAAAATTTGATTGTGAGAGCACTGCAACTGCCAAAATAGCTCTCTTCAGACTGTTTGGCAGTCTTGTGTAAAATATTAAAAATAAGCAGCCCAAACATGTAGATTATTTATTAGAAACATGTAGCGGATTATTCTCGCAACGCACAAAGCAAAAGCAACTTTACTGATTGTTAAATTCGCGGAATGCCGTTTGTATTAGCGAACGTAAAAAGCAAAAAGTGAAAGAATATAAATATATAAACATTTTAATATATATATATATATATATATATATATATATATATATATATATATATATATATATATATATATATATATATATATATATATATATATATATATATAGTGAAATATTGCTGATAACAAGATACAAGTGTTGTATATAGAAAAGGTTTCAATGTGCAACCAAAAGAGACATTTATAACGTAAAATAAAATAAAAGCCACTCAAATTTTGC